GCACCGACTCGCGGAATCGACAGGGAGGCACCCTCCCCCTCAGAGACGAAAGAATGGAAGCTAAAACAGGAGGATATCGACCGTCCATCCGTCCCGATAGATGATCGATATCCTCCTCCTCCCTCATCCCCCTCCTCCCTCATCCTCCTCCTCCTTCATCCTCCTCCTCCTTCATCCTCCTCCTCCTTCATCCTTAGACTTCAAAATTCTTCATTACCTTTCATTCGCCTCGTTCAGGGAAGATTCCGTTCATTGACAAATTAATCGATTAAACGGCTCAAGATTGATCGATTAAACTTAAAGTTAAATAATTAATTAGTACTCTATTAATCAATTATATTATAATTGACTGGCATATTGATCAATTATTTTATAATTGATTGGCATATTGATCAATTATTTTATAATTGATTGGCAGGCCTTTTTTTTCGTCGTCGTAGATTTGAAATGTTTTAAATTTTTCCTTTGGGCCAGAGACCACGTGTTTGGCACTTCTCGAGCCGGCAAGGAATTTCCCAACCGGGAGACTCTGACCGACGAGTAAGCAAAATCTATAGAAAAGAGTCTTCTCATGGGTGTACAAAGTGGATGTTCGCTGAGGCACTTTGTGGGCTTCGTGCGGCCCGAGGGCCGCACTTTGGGCGCCCCTGGGACTCTGCATGAAGGATTGAGTTTTTTTTTTGCGTGAAGATGCCTGAGTAAATAAGGAAATCAACAAACGAAAGGGATGGAGACTGCGCGTGTGCCAGAAGATGCCTGATACCGTTGCACCTTTGAGGGTGTTGGGATCAAAACTATTCAAATTGGTATTCGAGTCCCTTTCTGATTTTTTTTGTCATTTGAAGCTGCATTGCATCGTCAAAGTATGAACAGACTCACAAATGCCATTGTCAGGAAGGGACTGAGTTCCTTCGATAAGTTTCCTAATTAATGATATATGACTGCGATGAGTCTGCAGTCGTGGACCCTGCGAAAGATCGGACAAGAGAAAGAAACGAAAAACTGGCGAAAAAATAAACCAGCAAGAATAAACCAGCGCGGTCTGGGGTGATCGATAGAGATGAGTAGTGCGGCCGCGTCCAAGTCCTCGATCTAAAACGGTCTTTTCCGGGGGCTGAGTTAAGGAGACTGAACTGCGATGCGCTTGGGCGGGGCCACTAAATTAAGGGGGGGGGGGTGAGATTCGGCATAATTTTTTTTCCCCATAGAGATAAGCAGTAAAGCTTGTATGAGCAGCTTAGGGGACGTTTCTGCATACGGATCTGAGCTTGCAGAGGTAAGTAGGCTCATGAATGCCACGAACGTATTACGTCACTTCTCTGGAAGGGAAGGTAGAGGGAGGAAGGGTGAAGGGAGGATGGAGGGAGGGGGGAAGGATTTCCCTTTTTCTCTTAAAGTGAGATGCGATATCGAAGGATCTGTTGCCGCGGGCCAGTCAGGAGAGAACCACGTGGGAATGTGGGTTTCCCTCTCTGAGTTCCGCAGCGCTTTTTCGGACTCGGTCG